TTCACCGCAGATTCAAATTAGACATCGCCATCCTTGGGGGGCTGCGATCTGTGAAGCTGTCGCTACTTTCGAGGGCTGCTGCGGGGCACAGCACAGTGGGTACTCACCGCAGACTCAGATTAGACCTTGCCATCCCTGGGGGGCTGCGATCAATGAAACTGTCGCCACTTCCGAAAGGCTGCTGAGGGGCACAACACAATGGGTACTCACCGCAAACTCAAATGAGACCTCGCCATCCCTGGGGGGCTGCGATCTGTGAAACTGTCGCCACTTTCGAGGGCTGCTGAGGGGCACAGCACAGTGGGCTTCCCGCACGTCTTTCTCCTGCTCTTCGCTCCCGGCTCCCCATGTCCTCTTCGAGCCTGTAGTTGTCGCCCCTCGTTCTTGTATGGTTCTCCTGCGCATCATGCCATGGGCGCGCGTCCCAAGTAGCTTACATATCAAACCACGGATTCTGCAATTCGATTGTCCATGCAAGTTTCGGCCAACTCCTCGTTTCCCATGATACAAATGGGTTGGGTACGTCACAGGGTAATTTGTTATTCCTTGTGCTCCAGGCTTCTCGTTTTCAGTGGTCGTTCAGCTGTCAGGTAATTATCTGCAGGAGGCGCGCGCAAACGTCCCGGTCATCAGTGCCTTTCTTTGCAATCAGTTGTTGTCGAGTCCGTCCACAGGAGTGGGGGAGCTTCTTTGTGCTGGACGCCAAACATCATGCCGGCGAAAATCGCACCCCTGGGAACAGAATGGTCGGGCTCACGGGGGCTGCTCAATGATGTGCCTGGCAAGTCCCATTTATGGGGCTGCCTGGAGCTCTGACGGGGCTTCTGGCGGTACCTTCTTGGCACTCTGGCGAGGCCTTTCAAGAGGTGAGGGAGGGACACGAAACCTGATACATTGTATCGTATAACCACATCTCGCTCGCTCGGGCGGGTCCGCCCTGCAAGGGTGGGGGGAGCAAAAACCGTATGAAAAAACATGGTGTAGAATGCCCCGCGCTCTCTGGCAGGTGTTTCCCTGGCGCTCTGGCGGGGCTTGCCCAAGAGGGGAGGGAGGAGGACGAAACCGGAGGACAATTATGGTATAGTCACACCCCGTGCGCTCTGACGGGGCTACCTCGTGTGCGGTGGGAGGAGCAAGACAAAACAGGGACTGTATATGGTACAGCAACACCCCTCTCGCTCTGCCGGGGCCGCCCTTGAGGGGTGGGCCTGTCTGGCCGTCCCAGGAGAGGAGGGAGGAGCACGAACATTGAAGGGTGAGGGGAGGAAGAGGAGGGAGGAGGGACTGGAGGCAAAGGGAAGTGGCGGGAGGGAAGGAGGGACGGAAGGGGGAGGCCCGGGCCATCTGGGCCGTCTTCGAGCGCTCTGGGGCCTCCCGCTCCCGCTCTGTGTGGCCCATCTTGGGCCTGTCCTGGTCTTGGGGCGGTCTTGGGGGCGACTTCGGCCCGAGAACTCGAGAATGCGAGAATGCGAGAAGGCGAAAAACATTGAACAACCAGTGCAAATCAATGATTTGGGCCACTTTGGGCTCTCTGGGGACGTCTCTCGGAGCTCTCTTGGGGCCTCTTGGAGGCCTCTTGGGCTGTGTTTGCCGTTTTGAACTCTTGGGCCACGTTTGGATCATCTGGGCCGTCCTGGAGCGCCTTGGGGCCTCCCGTTCCCGCTCTGGGGCCCATCTTGTGCCTCTCCTGGGATTCTCTCGGGCAGTCTTGGGTTGCTCTTGGGCAGTCTTCAGGCTTTCCAGAGACGTCTTGGGACTCTTTTTGGGGCCTCTTCGGCGGTCTTAGGGCGATCTTCGGGGCGTCTTCGGCCGTCTTGGAGCGTTGGAAGCGAGAAAGCGAAAACCATTGAAAAACAATGATTTGGGTCTCTTCGGGCTCTCTCGGGACGCCTCTCGGAGCTCTCTTGGGGCCTCTTGGAGGCCTCCTGGGCTGTGTATTGGCTGTGTTGGGCCCATCTGGGGCCACGTTGGGGCCATCTGGGCCGTCCTGGAGCGCCTTGGTGCCTCCCGCTCCCGCTCTGTGGCCTAGCTTGGGCCTGTCCTGGGGCTCTCTTGGGCCGTCTGAGGCTCCTCCTTGGCAATTTTCGGGCTGGGGCCGTCTTGGGGCTCTTTTGGGGGCCTCTTCGGCGGTCTTGGGGGCGTCGTCGGCCGTCTTGGAGCGTCGGAAGGTCGAACACGCGAGAAACCAAACAACAGTGAAAAAGCATGCAAAATCTTGGGCCACGTTGGGGCTATCTGGGCTGTCTGGGAGGGGCTTGTCGAAGTCCCCCGGGGGCTTCTGGGATTGTCTTGGAGCTCTCTAAGGCAATCTGGGGGCTCCACGGCCCCTCCAGGGTGCTCTGGGAGAGGACTCGGAGGCCCCGGTCCTCTCATGCACGCTCGGGGCCCAGGCCCCGGGCCCCAGGGCCCCGTGCGCGGGGGAATATATATATATATATATATATATATATATATATATATAGATATATACACACATATATATATATATATATATACACACGCAAGGCTGCATTGGCGCTGCGCGCCATGTACCTTGGTCCTTTCAGTTCTGCACGCAAGCGAATGCGTGCGTGCGTACACGCGCGCATGCATGTAAACACGCGCACGCGCATGCACGTTTCGTATAAATGTCTAGGTGTATACAATATACTTACATGGTTGTATGTGTGTATACAGCGTACATATGTACATATAAATCTATGTGTGTAAGGGTATGAACATGCATATGCAACTCGTACGGGGTATCCTCGGGCATCTTCGCTGCATGCCACGAGACCCTCAACGACTGGGTCACAATGTGAAATGTCATGGGAGCAAAATCAATGAATGTTGGCATTCGGAAACATCGTGGGGGTGTTTTCGGGGCATTCGTGGGCCGTTTTGGCGCCTTCATGGGCCGTCCTGGGGCCTTCTTGGGCCGTCTTGGACAGCTTGGGCCCGCTGGAGCCCCCTTGGGACCCATCTTGGGCACTTCCAGGGACCTCCCATGGCCCTTTTGGGTCTGTGCTGGGAGCCCTTGGGGGGCCTCTTGGTTCCATTATGGGCTGTCTTGGGGCTCTCGTGGGCGATCGTGGGGCCCGGCTCGGCCGTCTTGAAGCTTTCTAGGGGGCCTTTTGGAGCGTCTTGAGGCGATCTCGGGGGCTTTGAAACCGTCTTGAAAGCTGATGAAAACCGAAAGGCTAATATGCTAAAATTGCAAGTTTTACGCAGGGAATGGGGCGGGCGATTTTTGTGGTTTGAAGGCCCCTTGGAAAGCTTTCTGGGGTGCCTTGGGGGTCTTTATGTTGGCATTCGGAAACATCGTGGGAATGTTTTCGGGGCCCTCGTGGGCCGTTTTGGCGCCTTCATGGGCCGTCAAGGGGCCTTCTTGGGCCGTCTTGGACAGCTTGGGCCCGCTGGAGCCCCCTTGGGACCCATCTTGGGCACTTCCAGGGACCTCCCATGGCCTTTTTGGGTCTGTGCTGGGAGCCCTTGGGAGGCCTCTTGGTTCCATTATGGGCTGTCTTGGGGCTCTCGTGGGCGATCGTGGGGCCCGGCTCGGCCGTCTTGAAGCTTTCTTGGGGGCCTTTGGGGGCGTCTGGAGGCGATCTCGGGGGCTTTGAAACCGTCTTGAAAGCTGATGAAAACCGAAAGGCGAATATGCTAAAATTGCAAGTTTTACGCAGGGAATGGGGCGATTTTTGTGGTTTGAAGGCCTCTTGGAAAGCTTTTTGGGGTGCCTTGGGGGTCTTTATGTTGGCATTCGGAAACATCGTGGGAATGTTTTCGGGGCCCTCGTGGGCCGTTTTGGCGCCTTCATGGGCCGTCCTGGGGCCTTCTTGGGCCGTCTTGGACAGCTTGGGCCCGCTGGAGCCCCCTTGGGACCCATCTTGGGCACTTCCGGGGACCTCCCATGGCCCTTTTGGGTCTGTGCTGGGAGCCCTTGGGGGGCCTCTTGGTTCCATTATGGGCTGTCTTGGGGCTCTCGTGGGCGATCGTGGGGCCCGGCTCGGCCGTCTTGAAGCTTTCTTGGGGGCCTTTTGGGGCGTCTGGAGGCGATCTCGGGGGCTTTGAAACCGTCTTGAAAGCTGATGAAATCCGAAAGGCGAATATGCTAAAATTGTAAGTTTTACGCAGGGAATGGGGCGATTTTTGTGCTTTGAAGGCCCCTTGGAAAGCTTTTTGGGGTGCCTTGGGGGTCTTTTGGGCCGTCCTGACGCAATTGGAGTCCCTCTTGGAGCGCTCTTGTGCTGTCTGGGGCCTCCCTTGGGCCTTTCTGATGATTCCTCGGATCGCTCTGGGTCTGCTGGCAAGGCGTTTGTGGAGACCCAGAAAGCCGGGTGACCTTTTCCAAGGACGTCCAAGGGAGCCCGAGAACCCCAGATCCCGGGGGTCCAGTTTAGGGGGGGGGGGATGGTTTTTCCCCCCCGGGCTTGTAAACATATAGGAAGAGGAATCTGCATATAGATATAGATGGTGTGCAAGATATGTAGTGCAATCGATGCTGTAGTCGATCAAAAAGTGCGCCGCAGGCGCACTTCTGTCCAGTCCGTGTGATAGAATCGATGTGGGGCCTTTATGTGGTGCGATCTACGTGTGTATGTTGTGCAATCTATGCTGTGCAGGAGGTGGAAGGCAAAGAAGCCCGGCGGCCAGAACAAGACGAGGCGCCAGGACTTCCTCCACCGTGTCGGCTGCAGGCAGGACTGACCAGAGGCACGGACCAATCGTTGGTGCACGGCGTGCCGAGCGCCGCATGCGGTGCGACACCAGCGACCTGCGAGCTTGGGCTTGGCCCCGCCGCACCCCCAGGAGGCCGCGCACCAAAGGCGGCTCTGGCAGAGGGCCACTCTTGCGCGCAGTCAGCTCTGGGCATCCCTGGCCAGTTAACTGGCCCCGAGCACGTCGAAGACTGGGTCGGGATTACGAGCTGGCCCCAGGGACGGGGCTCCTCCTCCTCCTCCTCCTCCTCGCCAGCCGCAGGACGTTGCCAACAGGATGCCCGACAGCCCTGGTCCCGCCGAAAAGGTCGCTTGGCTCGGGCTTCGGCGGCGCCCGGGTCACGTTCAGGCTCAGGACCTGGCGCGAACCGCTCGCAATCGGAACCCCTCTTGGACTGGTCATCTCTCCTTCCTACAGCTCATCCTTCTTCTCCCTTTTCTCCCTCCCTCCTCGTCGTCGCCGCCCTTCTGCGTGTCCTCCCCCCTCCCTCCTATTCGTCATCCTCTCCCTCCTTCCCCTGATCCGAACCTCCAGGAACCCCTTCGAAACATTCAAGAGTCAACCGGTAGCTCAAAGGATGCTTCCACAGACACTACCCCAGAAGGCACAAACCATTTTCAATACTTTCAACATCTGTCCCTGCTCCCTCCTACTCTTGCTCCTGTTCATTCCTACTCGGCCTCCCTCCTTTTCCTCCCCGTCCCCAGTGTCCCTTTGCTCTACCTCCCTCCTCCCTCCTCGATCCTCCGTCCTCCTCCCCCTCCTCAGCTCCCACCTGCGTATCCGCCCTTCTCCTTATCCTCCCTCTCCTCTTCTTCCCCACATCCGCTTCCACACATCCTTACTCCACGCACTCGTCCTCTTTCCCTTCAATTTTCCTGAGTCCGCCTCCCGTTTAACGTGTGCCGCGCCTTGGTGAGGGGTGTCGCAAGGCTCCGCGGAAGAGGAAGAGAAGGGTCACAATTGCGGCCACGGCGCATACGCTTCGTTGTGCAGTGTAATTTGTCGGGAGCCTCGCTTGGCACCCGCATTCACGAGTTCACGAAGTGCCTCGACGTCTCCGGCGACGACGTCGAGATCGTCGTCCGAACTTCGCCGGCGCAAGCTGTGGCTGATTCCTCCTTTGGCGCCGCCGCGGGGAGCATGGGTCTCGTTTGTTGTTGCGGACCAGGAGCTGCCGGACCTGGCTCCACAGGGCCAGCGGGCTCTGGCGCCGACCTTCCGATCCGATGCTGCACAGGTCACGGCCAGACCCTACACGTCGGTCGGAAGAAGTAGGTAAAAGCATGAAGTAGGAAGGCGGATGAAGTGGATTGGGTCGAGGCCCTCCCAGAGAACAACAAAACACAGCAGAATCATGCCGATTCTTGAAATAGGAAGGCGCGTGAAGTAGATTGGGATCTGGGAATCCACAAATACCTACTTTCAACGACCGGCATGTATCTCTCCGAGTCCTTTTTTCTGGGCGGATCGGTCCGTGAGGGTCCCTGAGCCCGAGACTGGGCGAAACCGCCCAGCTCTAGATCGGGCATGTCCTCCTAATTACAGGCGGATTTTAAAGAAAAAACAAAAGAAGTCAAAACATGCTCAAAAATAGTTTGAAATACTAGAAAACGTCCCCACACTATTTTTATCCCTATTTTTGAATATTCCCCCTGTAGTGGGACATTCCCGCCTTAAGCCCAGCTCGAACAACATTGAGCCGCCAGGGTCTCATAGGGCACCGCGGAGGGCAACCCGAAGCAGGTGTGTCTGGCGCTGTCTGCGCCCCCGACGGAGTTGCCGCGGAGGAGGAGGAGGAGGAGGAGGAGGAGGAGGAGGAGGAGGAGAAGGATATGGAGGGAGGAGGAGGAGGAGAACGAGGAGGAGGAGGAGGAGGTGGAGGAGGAGGAAGAGGAGGAGGAGGAGGAGGACGAGGAGGAGGAGGTCGCCCGCGAACTTCTCGAGCTCGGTGCTCTCGAAGCTCACGAGCGGCGAGCCTATCCGCATCCTCGCCCTTGCGGTCCAGCTTCCGGGGCGCGATGCCGCAAACACGCGGTCGCAATGATAAGCGGTCCGCGTGGGGCACCCGCGGAAGAAACGGCCCGTATCCGCGGGGTCACGGCCCAGGGTCCCGGACCGCGAGGCCGCGGTTATGGATATGTTTTGCGCTCACGGGCCCAAGGCTTACGAAGCCGCCTGCTGCTCTAGAGGTGCTCCAGAAGAACAAGGCGATAGTGAGTCCGCCGCCGCCTGCAGCCTCGGAGGCGGCCGAGTCCACGGCTGGGCGTCGGCGCATCCCAGAACGCAGGCCGAAGAAGCCGAAGGACGCCCGCTCGGCGCCGGCCAGGATGCTCAGGGTCCAGTGGCAGCTGCCTGTGCGGCTAGTTGCTTCATTGGCGATCGTGCGAGCCGAAGAAGGAACCCCAAGGGAAACAAAAACGCTGTCCAGCAAACCAGATGAGGAGAAGACAGAGGAACTCGTCTTGATTGAGCCGCCTCATAGCTCTGAGGGCAGCATCGCGGCATATTCACCTTCAGTCGTATGTTTGGCTGAGCCACCAATCGCTGAGGCTCGCCATGAATCTTCTCTTCATTCTGATGGGGTGGGTTCAACCACCATTGCGATACTAAATCTTGGATTGTGTCCAGTTGCCATTTGTGATTCGGAGCTGCCTCCTTCGATTGAGGCGGCGACGCACACTCTTGGATCTAGCGTGGATTGTGTTGGAGTTTTGAAGCCGCCTCCCTCGGTTGAGGCGCGCTCGGGGGCATCTTCTCACGAGGCACTTCTGTCAGACTCTGCGAAGTGTCATCATGAATCCAACAACTACTTCTATGACATAGTGGACCCGCCACCCCCAGTTGAAGCGCGCTCGCCTGCTCCCACGTTGCCTTCTCGTGGGTCCACCGGTATCGTCGAGCACCCTGCGGAGCTGGCTGAGACGCGCTGGGACGAAGGAGAACATCCAGACTTCTGTTGGCAAGTTGGGTTCGATGTCAAATTGCTCAACGATTGATCCGCCGATGTCATTTTGGCGCCGTCTCCTTGGGTTGAGGCGGCGGGCTCGGCGGACTCTTCGAAGCCTTGTCGCGGATCCAGCTTTGCCGCCGACGCCATGTTGGCGCCACGGAGGCGCGCCCGCGAAGTGGCCTCTCCTTTCGAGGGCCTCAGAACCAGTCGCGTCGACTGCGTCGAACTCGCTGGGCGCCGAGGCTGTGCGGGAGTGCCAACCGTGTTGTGGGGGCAGAAGCCGGGGCTGGTGGCATCTCCGCCGGGCGTGCTATTTCTCGGTGGATGCCTCTGCGGAGGACCAGCGCTCCGAGGTGCCGTTCCTCAGCAGGCGGCCCGGGGTGGGGGTCTGACCTGGTTGGGACCCCAGAGAAAATCGGCCAGGAGGGGAGGATGAAGCCAAATCCGATGAACAAATCAGTCCTCGGATCCCCTCGCAGGCCCATCGGGTGCAATTCTGCACCCTCGCTCCATTGTTTTTGACGGTCCTGGGGCCCGAACGCGGCCCCCGAGGGCTGAACAAGGCAAACAACACCTTCCTGAACCCCAACCTCAGACCTGCCCCTCTTTCCTGCTCGACGGAACCAGGGCTGGGCCAGCTCCAACCGCTCCTGTCGATTGTGCTTGCCATGCGTAGAAGAAGAGGAGACGCCACAAGCATAAACTTTAAGTTGGCGCTTCGCACGGATTTCTCGGATCTGCCCTGGACGCCCCTCCCCGGCGCGCGGAGCGCGCCAGGGGCGGCGCCGGAGGCGCCGCCTCGGGGGGGCCCAGCGAACGCAGTGTGCAGGCTGGGTGCGCTCTGTCTGTGCAGCGGTGGAGCTCGGGTTCTGCCAGGGTGCCTTGCGCCTGCCAGCCTTCATCTCGCATCTTGCCGCTCGCGGGTCCTCTCGGGATCCTCGCCTGCAGCGGTCTACAGTAAACATCGTCCTTCCCTCCCTCCCTCCCTGCCTCCAAATCGTCCTCCTCTTCGTCGTCCTCCGTGACTCCATCACTCCCTCTTTCCTCCTCCTCCTCCTCCTCCTCCTCGAGAACGGGGGATTGTAGCGGACCTCGCCTTTCGAGTGGTGTGTTCGTATGGTTTTCCTGAGGGGTGACGCACCATTACTCCTCTGTCTTCTCCTCTTCTTTCTCCTCCTTCTCCTCCTCCTCCGCCTCCTTCTCCTCCTCCTCCTCCTCCTCCTCTTCTTCCTCTTCCTCCTCCTCCTCCTCCTCCTCCTCCTTCTCCTCCTCCTCTTCCTCCCCACCTCCCAGTTTTTTTGTTTTGTTTTGTTTTCTCTCGTCCCCTCAAGACAAAAAAACGCGAAGCGCTTTTTTTTGGTGGTGGTGGGGGGGGGGCGACGGCGGAACAAAAAAATCCGACGTGGCCTCATCTGCCCTCACCTCTGGAAGGATTTCGATTGAAAGCCCCCTACGATGAGGGTTCATAGCGAAATCCTCCACAGGAGGATTCCCATCGAAACCCTGCACAGAAGGATTGCCATTGAAATCCTCCACATATTGGTTCCTATTGGGATCACCTGCAGAAGGATTGCTATTGAGATGCTTCGAAAGAAAGAATCCCCCCGTTGGCATTGCATTGGCATTGGTTCGGCAATGGTTTGGCATTGCTCTGGAACTGTGCTTTGCAGTGCGTGGGCATTGCGCTGGCACTTCGCAAGCGTTGCGTCGGCGAATCATGATGGAACCCTCCACGGAAGGATTCCCATTGAACCACCCCGCAAGAAAGACTCTGATCGAAACCCTCCGCAAAAAGGGTTTATATTGAAATCCTCCACAGGAGGATTCCATGCGAAGCCCTCCATTGAAGGATTCGATTCCTATTGTAATCTACCACGAAGGATTTCCCCAATTGGCATTGCATTGGCATTGAGTTGGGGTCGCCTTGGCATTGCGCTGGCATTGCGTTGGCACTGCTGTGGCATTGCAATGACATTGCGTTGGCGAGTCCTCATTACTCCCTTCGCATAAGGATTTCGATTAAAACCCTCCACAAGAACGGTCCCGATTGAAATCTAAAAAAAAGGATTGCCCCCCTTGGCATTGCATTGGCATTGGATTGGGATCGCCATGGCATTGGCTTTGCATTGCGTTGGCGCTCCGTTGGCATTGCGTTGGCGAGTCCTAATCGGACGCACCACAGGGAAATTCACACACAAACGCAAGACGGATTCATATTGAAATCCTCCACAGAGGGTTTGCATTCGACGCCATTCACATACGGATTCTTAGTGAAATCCTCCGAACATGGGTTCGCAATGGCATCATCCCAGAAGGATTCCCACTGAAATCTACCAAGGGAGGATGCCCCCAGTGGCATTGGTTTTACATTGTGCTGACATTGCGTGGGAAGTGCGCTGGCATTGCGCTGGCGAGTACTAGTGCCTCCCTTCGCGTAGGGGCTCCTATTGCAAGCCCCAGAAGAAGGCGTCTCATCGAAATCCACCACAAAGGATTGCCCCCCCCCCCCCCCCCCCCAACGACATTGCACTGGCATCGGATTCGGGCCGCCTTGGCATTGATTTGGTAAGGCGTTTGCACTGTTTGGGCATTGCGCTGGCATTGCGATGGCGAGCCCCAGTGCCCCCCTTCGCGAAAGGATTCCTATTGAAACCCTCCACAACAAAAAGATCCCGATTGACATCTACCGCACAGGATTGCCCCCATTGGCATTGGATCGGGGTCGCCTTGGCATTGGTGTGGCATTGCGTTGGCACTGAAATAGCGTTGCGCTGGCGAGTCCGAATGCCTTCCTTCGCAGACGGATTCCTATTGAAACACGCCACAAACAAAATTCACGTTAAAATCTACCGCGAAGGATTGCCCCCAACGACATTGCATTGGCATCGGTTTTGGGATCGCATTGGCATTGCGCTGGCATTGCGTTGGCACTGCTTTGGCATTGCGCTGACGAGTTCCAATGCCTCCCGTCGCAGAAGGATTCCTATTGCAACCCCCAAGAGGATTCTTACTGAAATCTGCCACGCAGGATCGCCCCCCAGCCCGCATCCGCCGACGGCATCACGAGCATCAGACGAAGTTGCAATATCCAGCATCCCTTTCCACGATTCAATCATCTGATCCTCATCCCCATCCTCCTCCTCCTCCTCCTCCTCCTCCTATCCTCCTTCTCATCCTTCCTTCTGCATGCGGGGCCTCAAGCGGAGGGGAGAGGATCGAGGATAGAGAAAGGACCAGAGAGAGAGAGAGAGAGAGAGAGAGAGAAAGAGAGAGAGAGAGAGAGAGAACTAGAGAAAGAGAAAAAGAGAGAGAGAGAGAGAGAAAGAAAGATGAGAGCATAACGGAAAACACTAAAGAGGAAAGAGAGAGAGAGATAGAGAGAGAGAGAGAGAGAGAGAAAAAGAGATAGGGAGAACGAGAGAGGCGAAGAGAGCGGGATATATGATAAGATAGGGAACGAACCATAAGACAAAAACAGAAAGACACCGATGGAAACGAAAGAAGCACATCAGAACGCCCGAAGGTCTAAAAACATGTCCCCGAGCATGGTCCTCGAAATTCCAACCCCATGCCGCTTGGCACAAGGCTGGAATTTCGAAGACCGTTTCTGGGGGGGGGGGCGATGATTGCTTGAAGGTTGTCGAAACCACAAGGATAGAGAAAGAGAGACGGAACGAGAGAGAGAGAGAGAGACAGAGAGAGCGAAAGAGAGTGGAGTAGATGACGAGAGAACGAACGAACGAAAGAAAGAAAGAAAAGGAAAGGATAACGCAGCAAAGAAAAAACAGCCAAACATCACTCAACAAAGAAAGACGGAGGAGCGTTTCACTCGATCAACAACCACATGAAAACGACGAGGTCCGCCACACTCCCCCGGCCTCTCCTCCTCCTCCTCCTCCTCCTCGTCCTCCTCCTCCTCCTCCTCCTCCTCCTCCTCCTCCCTACCTCCACCTCCTCCTCCTCCTCCTCCTCCTCGTCCCTCCCTGTCTCCTCTTCCTCCTCCTCCTCGTCCCTCCCTATCTCCTCCTCCACCTCCTCCACCTCTTCCTCCTCGTCCCTCTCTCCTCATCCTCGTCACTCCCTACCTGCTCCTCCTCCTTGTCGTCCTCCTTCTCCTCCGCCTCCTCCTCCTCCTCCTCATTACTCCCTACCTCCTCCTCCTTCTGCTTCTCCTCCTTCACTCGTCTGCTCCCGCACCGTTCTGCGCCAAAGGGGAGGCTGGAGCGGCAGGGGCGCGCCAGGCGCGAGCCCTGCGGCTGCAGCAGGCGTCGGTTGGTCCCCAGGCTCAGGTTCCTCGGGGACAAGGGCCACCTCCTCGCCTGCACCTCCCCACTCCTCCTCTTCCTCCTCCTCCTCTTCCTGCTTCTCCTTCTCCTCCTCCTCCTCCTCCTCCTCAGCCTCCTCCTTCTCCTCCTCCTCCTCCTTCTCCTCCTCCTCCTCCCTCTTCCCTCCTCCCTCCACCCTGCTCCTCAGCCTCGGCAGCCTCGGCTGCCCCGATACGCCACACGCAAACCGTAGCGTGTTGGCACAGAGCTCCACACGTAGATTGGAAACGTGGGTGTGACGCGATACGTTCGCCAATTCGCCAAAACGTGGGGGCAAACCCGTGCGTGAGACGTGTTGGCCACAATATGTATTGAGTTTCAAACCGTACGCATCAGGACAGCTAAGCTTATAGCAGGTGTCATCCCAGCACTTCGAACCTTGGTTCGAATCGGTTATCGTCTTGCCTCGTCACTCCTCCCCCTCACTCCTCCTTTCCTCCGTCCTGCTCCCAAGACGGCGCGCAGACTGCTGCAATGCCGAGTCCGATCGACCTCTCGGGTCGGACAACAACAGAAACATCGGATAACCACGGGGGGTGAGCGAATTAGCTCACGTGGCTGATTTTCCTGGAGGCTCCCTGTGCCGGAAGGCGCCGATGTATCGAAGAAAGCGCCTGGCGGCGGGGCCAGAACCAGCTGCATGCAGGAGAGTTCGTACCCCTCCTTGCCCTATCCCCCCCCAATTGGTCCGACCCAATCCTCCATCTCCTCCTCCTCCTCCTCCACGTCCTCCTCCTGCTCCACTACCACCTCCTCCTCCTCCTCCTCCTCCTCCTCCTCCTCCACGTCCTCCTCCTGCTCCACTACCACCTCCTCCTCCTCCTCCTCCTCCTCCTCCTCCTCCACGTCCTCCTCCTGCTTCACCTCCTCCTCCTCCTCCTGCTCCACTACCACCTCTTCTTCCTCCTCCTCCTCCTCCTCCTCCTCCACGTCCTGCTCCTGCTCCTGCTCCTCCTCCTCCTCCTCCCTCACACTCCTTTGCTCTCCCTCCCTTTCCTCTCCCCCTCATCGGGCACACGCTAACACGGATTGGGGATCCGTAAATGCGGCGCGTAGGCACGCCCGAAACACGAAGCCAGTGCCGCCCGTTTGGCAGCGGAGCGCGCCGAGTCTGTTGCGGAAGCGGGACGCGCCTTACTTAATCCATCTGTGCGGTTTTCCTCCCTCCTGCCTCCTCCTCCTCCTCCTCCTCCTCCTCCTCCTCCTCTGCCTCCTCTCCTCCTCCTCCCCTCTTCTTCCACCTCCTCCTCCTTTTCTCTTCTTCTCCTCCTGCCTCCTCCTGCCTCCTGCCTCCTCCTCCTCCTCCTCCTCCTCCTCCTCCTCCTCCTCTTCCTTCTCCTCCTGCATTCTTCTCCCGACCAGGGAGGGCTGCACGACCCAGACGAACCAGAAACGCGGACTCGTAGGCCTGAAGAGGAGGGTCGCGGTTCGGACCCCTCGCCGTGCCGACAGACCCACGCCCTGGAACTGGCACCAACAAATGGTTCATTCCCCTCCTTTTCCATCCTGCCTCCTCCCTCCCTCCCTCGTCCTCCCTCCTCCCCCTCCTCCTCCCCCATTTTCCCTGGTATTTCCTGGCTCTAGGCGCCCATGAGCCTGCAGCGTCAGTAGTTGCTCGACCTCCCTCTCCTCCCCCCGCTCATCCTTCTACATCCCTCCTCCTTCTTCTCCTCCTCCTCCTCCTCCTCCTCCTCTGTTCCACTCCGCCTCCTCCTCCTCCTCCTCCTCCTCCACTTCCCCTCCTTCTTCTCATTCTCTCATCATCGCTCCTCACTGGCTTCACCTCTCCTCTGAATCTCCTCTTCTTGCTGCCGAAGCACCTCCTCTGTCTACTCCCCCGTTTGTGCTCCTTCCGTCTACTGCCATTTCCCGCAAAAGATCAAGCCTCGTCCCCCATTCCTGCTCCACCTTTGCTCCTGCTCCACCTCGTCCCCTTCCCCGGCCACTGGCCCTTCTTCATCCTTCCCTCTTCTTTCTCTCCTCCTCCTCTTCCTCCTCCTCCTCCTCCTCCTCCCCCTCCTCCTCCTCCTCCTCCTTCTCCTCCTCCTCCTCCTCCTTCTCCTCCTCGCCCCCTCCTCCTCACAGGATGCCGGTCGCAAAGAGGGCGTCAAAACTGTTGCTAATTGCTGCCGTTGCTGCTCCTTCACCTCCTCTTCAGGCCGGGCCCGTCCATGGCTCGATGACGCCCTTCGGGGACGTCGTCTCCATCCGCAGCCGATCCCCCTGCGAGTCCTGGAGCCTTTGGCGGAAGTCGTCCCGCTGCCTGCGCGAGCGACCATCCCCGTCCATCGCTTGTTCGCGCGCGCGTATACCGTATATGTGGTACACCCCCGCAGGGATCCGCCTACTGCCTACTGCCTACCGTATATATGCTTCTATCGTCCTCGCTGATCCTCCTGCCTCTCCTCCCCTGGTCGTCGCCTTCGCCTGAAGATCGAGGGTTCGAATGACAAGGGAATTTATTTATTGACCAGGATCTGCAAACGCGCCTGCGGCAGAACAGGACAGATAAGAATGCGTGGAGCCAGGCGCCTACGTCTGAGGATTTAAGCTTTCAGGAAAGTCTTTGGGCGAACTTTCAAATATACCAGAATTGAAATTGGCTGATGGGGGAATCAATGTGGTTTCCAGGAAAATAGATGAAGTGTGAGCTTGGGTTCGGGCGGAGGGAAGGCTAGAAGTTCGAGTTCGGAAAACAAAGAAACCAAGAGTTCGAAAACACTTCAAACATTCAGGGGGAGTTCTAAAACAGTTAACAGAGTCGAACACATTGGAGAACACGCTCGGCTCAAATTGAAAAGGTCGGGACATTTTGGAATCAGCTTGGAAATATTCGAAGCCAATTCGGGAGTTCACGACACATTCACGCGTGCTCCGGACATTCGGAACTTCTTCGCCGCTGAACTTTTTATCAACGCTTTTCCGAACTTCAAGATTCTAGCAACTTTGAACTCAAACTATGTAGAAATTTGGGTTTCGAACTTTTCTGGGCTTTGATTATTTTCAGAAAGCCCGTCAGAGCCCCCTCAGGCACATTCGGTACCAGAGGTAGGGGGGACATTTTCGAAATCAAAGCATTGGAATCGGATACTTTCGTTTGAAGATTGACGACATACAATCTCTGGGGGAGTTTTTGGCCAGCTCCTTAAACGCGTCCGACAGGGGGAGAAAAACACATTGACAAACACCTGCCTAAGAACTCCGTTCGAACATTTACGTTCTCGGGGTATCCTCTATGAGATCTCATTACCGGTGCTATGGCGTTAGAACAGGTGCAAGAAATAACAGAGATGCCTCTTTTATGGGGGGCGGTTCGGGGGACCCCTTACCAGCCCCAGGAACTTGATGCCCCGAGGTGGTGGGTGGGTTCTGCAGAATCGGCCGAACGCCTGAGCCCAAAGGCATCAGACGTCGGGCAGCAAAGGAGGGTGCACTTACGCGTTGGTACGCGGAGGCGTATCCGCGAGGAACCCAAACAATGGTGCGATGACGGTAAAAATCCGCCGATCCGGCGTGCGAGTTTAAGAAGTCTAAGCTGAAGCTCTGCTTCAGCATTAGCTTTAGCTCTGCTTGGGAGGGGGGGAAGGGGGGGTAGGGACGAAATTAACTGACGAATTCAGTGCTCGGCACCTCCCCCCCGCTGCCAGCCTCCAGGAGAGAGGGGGTGGGGGGACAGGAGAAAGGGGGGGGGAGAGGGGGAGGGGGGTGGACAGGAGAGGGACAGGGGGGGGGGAAAGGAGAGAGGGGGAGGGGGACAAGCTAGGTGCGCTCGCGTCATATCTGACGTCCTACCCCTCCCTCCCATCCCTTACCATGGCGCTGATTTTCTCTATCCGCGGACGCGTGTCGTAGCGGACCTGTGGCTCCGCGCGCGCGTGCGTAGTGGGTGGTGGTGCGCGTGCGTGCGTGCGTGCGTGTGTGCGTGGTTGTCGTGGTGGTGGTGGTGGTGGTGGTGGTGGTGGTGGTGGTGGTGGTGGTGGTGGTGGTGGTGGTGGTGGTGGTGGTGGTGCGGCGCGGTGGTGGCGGGCGGATGGGCGCGCGAGAAAGAGGCCCGCGCTGGGGCGAGAACGCCATCCTGAACGACGGAGGCCAAACACCGATCCGAAAATGAGGCCCACGCTGCAGCGGGAGCACGATTCGGAACGATTCGGGAGCAGAAATGAGGCCGGCGCCTCAGCGAGAGCAGCATTTTGAAAAAAACGCAGGCGAAAACCCGTTTCCCGGGAATCCTGTGTAAAAAACAGTACGCGGGGGGGGTCGGCCATCTTCGGGACGCCATCAGGGGAAGTGGGAGAGTATTTTCATATTGTGTAATTGTGGAAACACCGATCCGAAAATGAGGCCCACGCTGCAGCGGGAGCACGATTCGGAACGATTCGGGAGCAGAAATGAGGTCGGCGCCTCAGCGAGAGCAACATTTTGAAAAAAACGCAGGCGAAAACCCGTTTCCCGGGAATCCTGTGTAAAAAAAACAGTACGCGGGGGGGGTCGGCCATCTTCGGGATGCCATCAGGGGAAGTGGGAGAGTATTTTCATATTGTGAGTAAAGGGAGAGGGGTGTATAGGAGAGTAGGGGTGGGGGGAGCAGGAGAGAGGGGGGGGGGAAAGGAGAGAGGGGGGTGGGGGGGGGGAGGGGGGGAAGGGGGGGGGGGGGTGGGGGGGAAAACAGGAGAGAAGGTGGGGTGGGGGGCCGGGATCATCACCATCTCCATCTCCATCTCCATCACCATCATCATCATCATCATCATCATCATCATCATCATCATCATCATCCTCATCATCATCAACATCTTCATCATCATCACCATCATCACCATCATCAGCAGCATCAGCAGCATCATCATCGGCATCATCAGCATCATCAGTATCATCAGCATCAGCATCATCAGCATCAGCATCAGCATCATACTCATCATCCACCACCACCATCATCATCACCACCAACCATCATCAATCATCATCATCACCATCGTCATCGTTATCATCATCATCATCATCCAAATCATCCTCTTCCTCCTCCTCCTCACCATCATCATAATCATAATCATCATCATCATCATCATCATCATCATCATCATCATCATCATCATCATCATCATCAGCATCAGCATCAGCATCAGCATCATCAGCATCATCATCATAATACTGATCATCATCATCATCATCATCATCACCATCACCATCACCATCACCATCACCATCACCATCACCATCATCATCATCACCATCATCATCATCATCATCATCATCATCATCATCATCATCATCATCATCATGATCATCATGATCATCATGATCATCATGATCATCATGATCATCATGATCATCATGATCATCATGATCATCACCACCATCATCATCTGGAGCGCCCCAGATCGGCGGCACTGGCTGGGGGCCACTGCAATAAGCAGGAGAAGACGTAGATGCCTCTTTTACGGGTGGCGGTTCCTGGGGCCCTTGCGCAGGGTCCCCGCTGCTCCCAGGAACTTGGTGCCCCCCACGCGATGGGAATGAGACGCCAATAAAAGGGAAGAGACCCAGAGGTGAAGGGACGGATCCCGGGCCCACCCCGGCTCACCTCGCTCCAATTCCCCCGCTTCTCATGGCATCATCGCCTCCGCCAGAACCGCGCAGCAAACGTGCGCAAGGGCAGCGAGGGCGCGGTAGGGTTCAAGACGATTCCGGAGGCACGCCAGGATGCCGCTCGGAACCCTCCTCTGCTGGGGGGCCTCCTCCGACCCTGCCCAGGATATGTACCAGGGCGAGCGGTCGACGGCCCCTGAGCGGGGGAACGTTCCGAACGACCGATGAATGGGGGCTGGCTCAAGGGCCTCTCCCCGGCCCTCATGGGGCCCCTACGGGCCCGGCCCCCGCTCCCACCAAGGGGGCCCTCGCCTATCGGGGTGGCCTCAAGGTTCCCACGGAGGATGCGGGATCGGGGGGGGGGGGGGGGGGTGTCCCGCAGGCGCGGGGAAATTTGGGCCGCCCACGCCCGCGGCCGACCGCGTGGCCAGGGCAGGGCTCGGCTCGCGGAGCCGCGAGGGCGAGACCACGGAGCCTGCCAGGCTCGCTCCTCGTGCCAGGCCGCGGAGTCCCTCGAGCCGAGCCTGGAGCGAGCTGCGGGTGGTTGCCTGCTTCGGTGGCGCCCGGGGCCGCGCGGCGGCCAGCGCTCCCGCCAGAGCGCGCGCGTGGCTCCCGTCCCGAAGGGTCGCGTGGAGCCCCGCCGCTGCCAGAGCCCCCATCGGCGGGCTGCCTCCCGGCTCTCCCGCCAGCGTGCGGGCGTGGCTCCCGTCCCGGAAGGTCGCGTTCAGCCTCGCCGCTGCTGGCGCTCTCCTCGGCGGTCTGCCCTCTGCCGGCCAATCTCGCCAGACCCTCCGGAGCTCGCGGAGCTCGGCGAGCTTCCGAGCCCTCGCCCCCGCTCTCGGAGGCTGCCTTCCGGGACTTTGTGTGTCGCATCGCGAACCGAGTTTGGTGGATTGGCTATCAGTGCACCTGCTTGCCCCGCCTCGGCTCGCGGCCGCCGTCGCCTGGTCCGCGACGAGGCGCCCGCCAGCGTGCACACGCGGCTCCCGCCACGAGGGTCGCGCGGAGATCCGCCGCTGCTGGCGCCGCGGCGCTCAGCCCAGCGCCCCGCCGCTCGGTCCGGGCGCTGACCTCTTCGTAGGTCGCCCCCTTCTCTAAGTCCCTTGCGGTCTGCGGGCCGCCAGCCGTCGGCGAGTCTGTTGGTAGCTGAGCGGCGCTGGGGCCTGCTGCGAAGGCACACCCGCCCCGCGTCGCAGGCGCTGACCCCAGCGTTCTGACTGGCGACGCTTGCCCCCAGCTTCCAATTGCAACAACTCCCGCGGCTCGCCTGCTGGAGCTTGCTGCCGCGGCTCGCCTGTCCCGGATCGTATGCGTTTATTCCAGCGTTGCATCCAATGACGCTGATTTCCAGCTCCCTCTCGCATCAGCTCTCTGAGCGGCGCTGGAGTCTGCCCGCCTCGCATCGCAGGCGCTGACCCCAGCGTCGTGGCTCATGACGTTGGTCTCCAACTGCTTCTCGCCGCAGCTCGCGGAGCGGCGCCGAACTGCCGCCGCGGCTCGGCCGTCTCGCGACCCAGATGCCGATCTCAGCGTTGTAGGTGGTGGCGCTGGTCTCTAGCTCCCTCTCGCAGTTCGTCGAGTAGCGCCGGGGCCTGCTGCGACGGCTCTCCCGTCGTCCATCGCAGGCGCTGGTCCCTGCGCTCTTACTGATGGCGATGATCTCCAGACGCCTCCCGCAGTCGCTCGCTGAGCAGCGCTGGAACCTGCTGCCGCGGCTCGCCCATCTCGCCTCGCAATGTCTGGCCACAGCGTTTAGCTGACGACACTGGCCCCCTGCTCCCTCACGCAGCCGCTCCCTGAGCAGCGCCAGAGCCTGCGGCCGCGGCTCGCCCCTCGCGGATCGCAGGCGCTGGTTCCAGCGTCGTGGCTGATGACGCTGGCCCACAACGTCCAACCGCCACAGATCACTGAGTAGCCTGCTGTCACGTCTTGCCCGTCTCGGACCGCAGGCGCTACTCCCAGCGTTGTAGTTGACGACGCTGGTCTCCAATTTCCCCTTGCAGCAGCTTCCTGAACGGCGCTGGAGCTCGCTGGCATGGCGCGTCCGTCTCGCGTCTCAGGTGCTGACCCCGTCGTTGTTGCTGTTGAGGTTGGTCTCCAGCTCCCTCGTGCAGCCACTCGCTGTGCAGCGCCAGAGCCTGCGGCCATGGCTCGCCCCTCTCGCAACGAGGCGCCGATCCCACTGTTGTAGCTGATGACGGTAGTCTCCAGCTCCCTCTCGCGACAGCGCGCCGGGCACTGCCAGAACCTGCTGCCACTGCGCGCCCGTCCCGCATCGCAGACGCTGGATCCAGCGTTTTAGCCGATGACGCAGGCCACCACTTTCCTCTTGCAGCAACTCGCTGAACATTGTCGGAGCCTGCTGCCGCGGATCGGCCGTCTCGCGGCGCAGGCGCAGCGTTGCAGCTGATGACTGACGCTGGTTCCAAGCTCCCTCTCGCAACAATTTGCGGAACCGCGCCGGAGCCTGCTATCACGTCTGGCCCGTGACGCATGACAAATGATGATGATGATCTCCCGCTGCCTCCCGCAGCAGCTCGCTGAGCAGCGTCAGAACGTTTCGTTCTGCCATGGCTCGCCCGTCCGGCATCGCAGGCGTTGAACGCAGCGCTGTAGCTGAGGACGCTGGCCGCGCTTGCCTCCCGCTCCCCCACGCAGCACTTCGCTGAGCGGCGCTGGAGCGTGCTGCCGCGGCTCGCTCGTCCTGCGCCGCCGGCGCTGGTCCCCTGACTGTAGCCGATGACGCCGACAGCCAGCTTTCTCTTGCAGCTCGCTGGGCAGCGTCGGAGCCTGCTGCCGCGGCTGGGCCGTCTCGCGGCGCAGCCGCTGAACCCCCGCATTGTTGCTGATCGCGCTGGTTCCAAGCTCGCCCGCTGGGCAGCGTCAGGGCCTGCTGCCGCGGCTCGTCCGTCCCGCATCGCAGGCGCTGGTCCCAGCGTTGCCGCTGATAACGACGGTATCCAGCTGCCTCTCGCAGCAGCTTGCTGAGCAGCGCTGGAGCTTGCTGTTGCAGTACGCCCGTCTTGCGGTGCACGCGCTGACCCCAGCGTTGTACAGTCGACCCGTATCAGAAGGACGCGTGATAAAGATGCAAGGGCCTTGGAAGGCCGTTTCGAAGCTTTTCGAACTGGGCGCGGCCAGCGAAAGTGACCAAGGATGGGCCGAATGGGGCAAGGATGCAAGGTTACCCTCTGGAAGGCTGCCCACCCTTGCTATGCGGGTTGACTGTACGCCCGTCTTGCGGCACACGCGCTGGCCGCAGCGTTGTAGCTGAAAACGCTGGTCAGCGCGCGGCAGTCCTCCCGCTGCTTCCTGCGACGATCAGGTGCTGGACGCAGCCCGCCGCCGCGCGGCGTCTAGGGCGCACGGCCCAAGGGCCAGCATCCGCGCCCAACCGGAGTTCGGAATCGACCGAGCGCCTGGACCCAACTGGCAACAGACGTCGGGCAGCAGAGGAGGATACACTGACGTGTTTGTACACGGGTACAAATTTCGAGCGAATGGTGTAGCAAACAATGCTCGGAACTTCCATATGAAATCTGCATGTCGGTATGTACATACACATGTATGTATATATACACATGTATAGAGATCAAGTACATCATGGGGCAAACCTTCACGCAAACAATGTCTGGAACATCCGTGAGAAGACTGCATATTGCATTCTCCAATATGACGTGAAGGCAAATCTTCGAATAGGCTGTGTCCGGAACATCCGTGTGAAGTTGAAGACATAATGGGAGTCGTGGGTCAGAATCTTCAAACTCCTGTTCCACCTCCACTACCCTCTGCTTAAATATTAGATCCCAAATTCCTCATGGACTCTTCTACCTTCTACGATGTAGCGGGTGCTGCTGGAGCTGCCTGCTTGAAGATGTGCCCAAAGACCTTCGTGCAGTGTTGAATCCGCAATCCTCGAACATATGCTTCAGATACCGCCTGTTCGCAGATTCGCGGAACAACCTCCCTGGTATCTTCAACCGGATGCTCCAAACCTCTCAGGGTCGGTGCCCGCTGATGCGAAGAGAGGGGAGGAAGAGAGGTAGACCGACGCTCTCTTTTCTACAGCTGTAGTGTTGTCGCTGCAACGGCGCAGCGGCCAAGTCTTTACCCTCCCGGGTGCCGCCGCAGCCCAGGCGTGCCTGCCCCCCTGCGTGTCTGCGGTTTTGTCCCACGACTTCCCTGGAGCCTCCAGTCGCAGTTCTTTGAACGGAGGCCCCAAGCTCCAAAATAAATTTGGGTCGGGCATGTCCCCCGAAAGGGGGATTTTGGACGCAGAATAAAACATATTCAAGAAATACTCCAAACAATTCAAAATCACATCGTCCCTAGACTATTTTTTGACTATTTTTCAATATTCCTCCTGAAGAGGGACATGCCCGACTTAAAAGTAAACTGCAAACGCCTCTCTGCTCGGCTGTGCGTGAAGTTTCGCCCCACGCCGTCCCTGCGGTCCGTTCGCGCTTGCATCTTCGGCGGGCTCGCAAGGCCTCTTGCGCGGCGACGCCGGACCCCTCATGGGCCTCGTTGCGAAGCCGCGCGCGGTCGCCCCGGGGCCGCGGAGAGGCCGCTCGGGCCAGTCAGTGCCTGAGAACCTTCCAACTCCAATCTTCGAGCGGATGCTCCAAGCACTGCTTGTTTGACCCAATCGTCGCCCGAACAGCCTCGGCCTGCCGACTTGACCCTAACAACCTGAGACTGACAACCTGACTTGAACCCCCTCAAACCTCACCCTACGTACCCCAACCCTGACGCACTTGCACCCTAAATCGAACCCCAACGCCCTAGCACCAACACTAGGCACTCCAACTCTGACTCTAACCCAACACCCTAGAACTCCAACCATACGGTTAACGCCCTGACCCTAGGCAACCTGCCCCTAACCCTAAACACCCTAACCATGCAACCCGCTGGCCCGGACGCGCTGGCCCGAACACACCACTCCTAACACCCTAATGCGGACTCCGTCGAGCTAAGACTTTTCCGTCGGCGGCGGGCAAAGGCAACCCGCTCCAGCGTGTAGCTAATCGGGGCAACCGACATGCGAATTGTCCGGCCCCACTCCAAAAGCCATAGCTCGGACACCCCCAATCGAACACTCTAACAATAACATTCCCTCCTGTGCGCCGGAGCGCTTGCCGTCCCACCCCGCCTGCCGCGAGAGAAGGATTCGGCGCAAAGGGGAGGCAGACGGGGGTGAGAGTCCAACTTACATAACCCCTTTCTCCGGCGCAAAACGAAGGGGAGGCGGGGGATAGAGCGTCTTTCTTGTGCATCGAAGTGCCCTGGAACTTGCGATTGCGCTGTGAATTTCGCTACCAGCGCTACTTCATTTTTTGCTAGACAGTGCTTGCGCTTAGGCTGTTTGACTTCTCTTCGAAGGGACTGGCCCTGTGTGTCGGTCTGGCGGTCTGTCGGTCGGTCTGACTACCTGGAGGACGCTACAAAATCAAGAACACCCAAGTCCGCATCTTCATGTTCCTCCTCCGCCACCTCGCCTCCGGCTCACGAGGATCGGCTGGCGGAACACCAGCCAGACCACCTCGGTCGTACAAGGGGGGCGAGTCAGGCTCCCGTTGAACGCGAAGAGCGACCTGGCGCAGGGAGCGGAACGCACGCACTACGCAGGAGGAGGGGTTGCGAGGATGAGGGAAGAGGATCGAATATCGATGGTCAGTGCCCCCTGCTCTGTGCCACCCTCTTTGGCCATGTCAGTGGATCCCCTGGATGCTTCCAGGGGCTTCCAGGAACCTGCGGAGGACGACTCCTGGCACTCAGAAATGGGGCGCGTCCCTGAGGGGGAGGGAGGGGCTGGGAGGAGAAGGGGAGGAGGAGGAGGAGGAGGAGGAGGAGGAGGAGGAGGAGAAGGAGGAAGAGGGAGGTGAGGAGGATGGAGGAGGAAGGAGGAGGAGGGTATGATGAGAGGAGGAGAGAGAGGGCGGAGGGGAGGAGAGAGAGTGAGGAGGAAGGAAGGAGGAGGAGGAGGAGGCGGAGTGGGGTAGGGGGTGGGGGGGCGCTGGGAGTGGGGAGAGAGGAGGGGGGGTATGGGGGTGGGGGAGGTGGAGGGGAAGGGGGAGGGGGGAGTGGGATCGCAGGCCAAAACAACGGGCAGGAGGATGGAGGGGAGGAGGAAGGCGTGAGGGAGGAAGGAAGGGGAGGAGGGAGGAGGAGGAGAGGCAGAGGAAAAGAGAAAGGAGAAGGAGAAGGAGAAGGACAAGGAAAAGGGAAAAGGAGGAGGGAGGGAGGAGGTTCCCAGAATCGTTGCGGCCCCGTTGCCTGGTAAAGCTCTTCGTAAACTTGCCAATGTGCTGATCCAACGGGCGGATGTCCCATGCGTGCCGTCTACGAAGGCGCGAATCTATCATCTCATCATCCTCCGCCTCACTCCTCCTCCTCTTAATTTCCATCCTACTCCTTACCTTCCCTCCTCCTCCTCCTCATACTTCCCTCCCCCCTTCATCCTTGATCGTCCCCATTACCTGTAACCTGCTTATACCTCCTCTTCCGCTCCTCCTCCGCATTCCCCTATCCATATCCTTCCCCTCACCCTCCTACTGCCTCCACCTCCCTGCTCCTCCCGCCTTCGCCCCTCCTCTTCCCTCTCTCGTTCCTCCTCCTCCTCTCCTCCTCCTCACTTCTCCTCTTCCAGTCCGCCCCGCCAAACATCGCTCTCACCTCCGCTTGCCTCCAGTCAACATAGTCCTCATACTCCCCTCCTACTCCTCCGACGCCTCCCCCTTCTCCTCCTCCTCCTCCTCCGACGCCTCCCCCTTCTCCTCCTCCTCCTCCTCCTCCTCCTCCTCCTCCTCCTCCTCAATCCCCCCCCCCTTCCCCCTGGACAGGGGGCCTGTCGGCGGGCAGCCCGCTGTAGAAGGGGTTCGGCACTACCAGGGTGGCGGGCCCGGAGCCGCCCCCCAGCCTCCCGAGGCCAGCCCAGAGCTGCTCCTCGCGGGCCGCGCCGCCGAGAGGAAAGGAGGAGGAGGAGGAGGAGGAGGAGGAGGAGGACAAGGGGGAGGAGGAGGAGGAGAAGGGGGAGGAGGAGGAGGAGGAGGACGAGGAGGAGGAGGAAACGGCCTCGTCATCGACAACGCGTATTCTTTCCGTCGCAGCGCGGCACGGGCAGTCCGCACGCGCGCCCAGCACGCCGGGCGACGAAACTGCAAATTGCCCGGGCGCAAGGAGGGCGAAGAGACCACCGCGCCCACGCCGCCGACAGCAAGCGGCGCCGCCAACGTGCCAAGCGCATTCTTCTGTGCACCTTTGAGATTCTCCATCCACGCTGCGACCGCTTCCTCGCTGCCGTGTCTGGTGAGAGACCTGGATGTGTTCTGATGGGGTGTATGAAGACCTTGAGTTCGCCATTGCCATCTTGCCTCACCCTCCACACGCCTCAACATACAAACGCTAGAATAATTCTGACAATACTAAGAAGACCAATAATAAGAACACTCAAAAACCATAGTATCAATAATAATACCATCAACACTCAGAAGATGACACTACGCAGCATAAAACTAACAATAGTATTACTAATACTACTACAAAGCGAATAGTGGTAATACATATAATAATATTAGCAAGATTCTTAACCAAGAGAATGATAACATACTACTCACAGTACGAATACTACTATTAATACCAATGATATTAATAGTAATCATGCTAACACGGCTAATACACATGGTTGAAACTAGCAACCATAATAATGATACACATAAGAGCAATACACAGCATACTACGAATAATGATAAGAGTCATGCGTAGAAAAAGAAACGGCAGAAACGGCATACACAAACTTTTGGCGCTCCGTGCGGATCTCTAGGATCCGCGCTCGCAGAAGGTCCTCAAGCGCGGGCAGCAGATGGAAGTGCGAATTGCGATCGAGCATCGTCGACGGCACAGTGTATAGGACGTCGCACAATGTAAGGTGCAAGCGTGAGTGGTGTCTAGACGGACGGTAATCCAGAACGCATCAAACACACAAGCACGGTGGACAATGTTTTGCGGCGTTCTGCCCCCAGGGGCCCCCACCGGGCCCCTGGGGACCGCCACAGCATGGCGGCCCGGGGCGAGGAGCCGGCTTCCCCGCGGGGGAGGGCGCCCAGATCTCTCTTCTCGGGGAGCCACGCCGTGGTCAGCAGGCACGGGGCGACGCAGGACGTCTGAGAGGGAAAACAAATCTGTAACAACTGCGCCACCACCTCCTCAGCTTCGTCACGCTCGCGGCGAAGAGGGCGCGACGCTCCGCAACGCCCCGATAGCAAAGCCGCGGCGACCAGCAAGGAGAGCCTGGCCGGCTAGCCGCTGGCCTCCCAGCTCGTCGGCCAGCGCCGCGGCCGCCGCTGCCAGCGCGCGCTCCCAGCCGAACGCGTTCCGCAATCGCCGGGCGGTGGCGGCCTGCAGGGCGACGCTGAGCTCAGCGGCCTAGCGTTAGTTCGGGCCCGCACATCGCCCGCCAAAAAGCGAACACTGGTGCACTCTAGGACCGGGTTCTGCATGGCCACGAGGGCGCCCCTGAAGGTCCACACCAAAAGACATAACGCCTCCAAAAACCTCGATCCGAACATTTGCCTGCACCTCTTCTCCTCCTCCTGCTCCTCCTACTCCTCCTTCTCCTCCTCGTTCCTCCTCCTCCTGCTCCTCCGCCACCTCCCCTTGCCCCTCGATCCCCCTCCTCCTCCTCCTCCTCCTCCTCCTCCTTCTCCTTCCCCCCCTGGATCCTCGATCCGCGTCAACAACACAAGGGGGGCGGGGGGCAATTGAAACAACGGCGGCTCTCCCGCCCGGCTCAAACCCGCTCAACAACGGCCCCCAGACCCTCCTGGGGTCGACCCTGGCCCGTCTTTCGAGGCGGAGCCAGCCGTGGCGACGAGACGCCTCCGGGGGCAGAGGAACAGGCAACGGCAAAAAGCCCAAGCTTCCGCAGGTCCGCAGAGATCTCTTGGACCAGCGGCGGAACCCCCCTCCCTGGCGCGCGAAGCGAGCCAGGGGCGGCGCCAGGGACGCCGCCACGGGGGTCCTGCACCGACCCCAGAATTAGGTCGGGCATGTCCCCCTAGAGGCGGATGTGAAACAAATGCGCAGAACAACTCTCAAACATAGTCAAAACATACTCGAAACATTGCCCCCATATTATTTTTGGATTCTGTTTGAATCTTCCTCCTGTAGAGGGACACGCCCGACTCAACCCCAGAGGTCCACGCAGAACACCGAAAGCGTGCGTTTATGCATCTCTCTTTTCCTCGAATTACAGTAGGGCACAAGACACCCAACCCTGAGACCCCAGGACGTCCGTCGATTTTTGGTGTGGGAGCGCCACGCTTTCCATCGCAAAACCATCGAAACTCAAGGCATCCTGGAGGCAAACAGGGTGTTTCTTGGCATGGGTCCCCGATGTAGGCCCCCAAACACAGCGGAAAACGTCGAACCAAGGCCGCCGCTGTCTCTTCCAGCCTTCCCTCCAACGGCGGGCGGCGCTCCACGAAGGCGTTGTCGGGCACGAGCCCCACCCGCAGCAGCGCGGCCGCCACCAGGACTTGGCCGTCCCGCGCGCGGTGGAGGTACTGCGCCTCGGGGTTGCCGAAGGCCGCCCTCCGCCCCGCAGTCCGGAAGGAGGAGGAGGAGGAAAAGGAGGAGGAGGAGGAAGAGGAGGAGGAGGAAGAGGAGGAGGAGGAGGAGAAGGAGGAGGAGGAAGAGGAGGAGGGAAGTGAGGAGGAGGAGGAGGAGGAGTGAGGAGGAGGAAAGTGAGGCGAAGGAGGAGGAGAAGGAGGAGGAGGAGGAGGAGGAAAAAGGAGGGAGGAGAAGGAGGAGGAAATGAGGAGGAGGAAGAGGAGGAGGCAGGAGAAGGAGAAGGAAGGAGGGAGGAGGAGGAGGAGGAGGAGGAGGAGGGGAGGAGGCGAAGGAGGAAGGGAGGAGGAGGCGGGATGGAGGAGGAGGGAGGAGGAAGAAGAGGAGGAGGAGGAGGAGGAGGAGGGAGGAGGGAGGAGGAGGAGATGAGGAGGAGGATGGAGGAGGGAGAGGATGAGGAATGAGGATGCGGATGAGGAGAGGATGAGGATGAGGATGAGGAGGAGGAGGAGGAGGAGGAGGCGGCGGAGGGAGAGGAGAGGAGGAGGAGGAGGGAGGAGGAGGAGGAGGATGGCGGAGGAAGGAGGAGGATCAGAGGAGGATCAGGAGAGGAGGAGGAGGAGAGGAGGAGGAGGAGCGAGGAGGAGGAGGAGGAGGAGGAGGAGGAGGAGGAGGAGGAGGGAGGAGGAGGGGGAGGTAGGAGGAGGAGGGAGGAGGAGGAGGTACACAAGAGGAGGAGGAGTGATGAGAGGGAGGAGGAGGAGGAGGGGAGGAGGAGGAGGAGGAGAAGGAGAGGAGGAGAGAGGAGGAGGAGGAGGAGGAGGAGGATGAGAGGAGGAGGAGGACGAGGAAAGGGGAGGAGGAGGAGGAGGAGGTAGGAGGCGGAGCAGGAGGGGAGAGAGGAGTGAGGGAGGACGGAGAAGTCGGCGAAGGGGGGGAGGAGCAGGAGGAGGAGGAGGAGGAGAGGAGGAGGAGGAGGAGGAGAAGGAGTCGAGGAAGAGGAGTAGCAATATTAACAGGAGGAACGGAGGAGGAAGAGGAAGAGGAGGAGGAAGAGGAGAAGGGGGGAGGAGGAGGAGGAGGAGGAGGGGGAGGAGGAGGAGGTGGAGGAGGAGGAGGACGACGACGAGGAGGAGGAGGGAGGAGGGAAGAGGGAATAGGAGTAGGGGTAGGAATCAAGATAGCCAGCTCGAACGAGACATGCCTGGCATGCCCATTCCCACCCGCCCGCCCACAACATAAGAACAGTGCTGGGACAACCGGGAACCGAGATCACATCGGCGAGCTGGTTTGGCACAGCTAATGCGGCCGCGACAAAGGTTACCGATGGGAGCCCCGGCTCGTCTCAAAGGCTGCGCGGGCATTTCAACACGAGTCGAAGATGCCCCAATAGTACCCAAGCAACTTCAACAAAGCCCCAAGAATCCCCAAGATGTTTCAGGACACCCCGGGGAGCCCCAGGAAACCCCAGGAATCCCCTCAAGGCCCCAGCGAATCCTTCCCCAGGAGGCACCAGGAAGGCCCAGGAAACGCCAGGAACCCCTCCAGGAAGCCCCAGGAGGTCCAGGAAACCACAGGAAACCACAGGAAACTTGGTTGGCAAAACACATCGCGCGCGCAGGTCGGCCAGCTGGTATGGCAAAATTCTTGCGGCCACGATTGCGGTGGACGATGGGAACTGGCCCAGCGCGTCTCAAAGGCCGCGCCAACGCGCTGGCACCTCGGTGCAGGTCGGTGACTCGGGCGGGCGCGATGGCATGATGACGTCGACTACGGTGGCGACATGATCAGGAGGGCAGTGACCCGCGATGATGGCGACTTCGACGGCAAGGCCAGCGACGATGCCGATGATGGCGACGATTCTGGAAGTATTTGGACATGCGCTCGCGGCGACGCGCGCGCATGTCGGCCGCGTTATATTTGTTGTGCAAGATTCGCGCCCTGGGTGCATGACAAAGCATCGCGAGTGCACCGAGCGGCGTTTTTTTTTTTTTTTTTTTTTTTTTTTTTTTTTTTTTTTTTTTTGTTTTTTTTTTTTTTTTTTTTTTTTTTTTTTTTTTTTTTTGTTTGTGTTGTTTTTGATGGTTGAATATATGTCGGAGACACAAATATATATATATATAGATATAGGATATATATGTCTATATAATAAATAAATATAAATAAAATGTAGATATAATTGATCGTATGGTTTTCCATGATTCAACAAGTTGCGCGCGCGAGTTTTTTTTTGTTTTTTTTTTTTTTTTTTTTTTTTTTTTTTTTTTTTTTTGTTTTTTTTTTTTTTAAAAAAAAAATATAAAAAATAGAAAAATATTTGTAATGAAAACGTTTGAACATAAACGGTTTTTATGCTGAAAGGCTTGCGAACACAGTGTGTGTTGGTAGGATGTTGACATGAATGCGCGTGTGCACTTTGTCGTATTTTTTGTTGTAAGGGACTACCGGCGTGGACGACAGGACGTCCATGTTGAGAGGAAGAATGGCGTTGAACTTAATTGTTTTTGTCTGCAAATTAGGATAGGACGTCCCGGATGGGGCGGCTCGGCCGGGGAAAAGGGGGGAGTAGGAGTATATTCTAATAAGGAATGATGATAGCAATAGGAGTGCAGTCGGGGCGTTGACCTGAGGAACCCTAAATCAGGAACGAGGCCCCTTTCTTCCATAAGTCAACCTTAATTCTCCCATCGAACGCCAATCGACGGCAAACTGTATAACCACTAAGGAACACGGTGCCCCTCCCAAATGAAAAGGGTTCTTTCTTCAGCTCCCCGACTGTAGGAGTAGGAGTAGGCGTATGGGGAGGAGGAGGGGAGGAGGAGGAGGAGGAGGACGAGGTGGAGGAGGAGGAGGAGAGGAGGAGAGAGGAGGAGGAGGAAGAAGTGGAGGACGAGGATCAGGAGGAATAGGAGGAGGAGAACCAGTGTAAACCCAATGTTCATCAACGTCGTTGGAATAAACCCTGCCTCCAAGCTCCCTTTACACAGGCCACTACAACGGTTCATTTCCATTGAAAGAACTGCTTCTTTGGAAAACAACCGCTTGAAGACCCGGAAGCATGCCAAAACATGGTCCTCGGGATCACAACTCCACGGATCAACCTGACTGTTGCGTCTTGGCAATCCGGAATCGTACTAGAAAAGCCATTGCTGGGACTGGAACGCCACGACCTAACGTCACTGCTTCACCCGCGTAATCCTGAATCCTTTTAAAACACCATTTCTGGCACGTTGACGACGGAACCCCGTGAAGCTCTTGCAACTGTTGTAAGCGAATGTGCGTGGCGCTAAGGCGAGAGCCACATTTTGAAAAGGAGCAGCCCTCAATCCGTGAAGCACTTGCAATTTTTTAAAAACGAATGTGCACCGCGCTACGGCGAGAACCACATTCTGAAAACCACCCACCCTCATTCCGTGAAAGTCTTGCCAATTCTTAAAACCAATGTGCGCCGCGCTAGAAACCCTTGCACATGTTTAAGACGAGTATGCGCTGCGCTAAAACGATAACCACATTTTGAAAACGACCCGCCCTCATTCCGTGAAACTCTTGCAACTTTTTAAAACGAATGTGCGCCGCGTTAGGGCGATAACTACATTTAGAAAACCACCAGCCCTCAATCCATGAAATTCTTGCATATTGTTAAAACGAACGCGCGCCGCGCTAAGGCGAGAGCCACATATTGAAAACGACCTGCCCTCCATTTGTGAAGCTGTTGCCAATTTCAAGCTTCAGAATCATAACTGGTGAGGAAGTCTCAGGCGAAACGCCCAGCCCGCCCTAAAAACTAGCCTCGGGGTGCGACAGGGAGAAGATATGTATAAGGAAGGGGAGGGGGGAGGAGGGGGAGGAGGAGGAGGTTACCGTCATCCTTATCAGACTAATCACCATACTCCCCCATTCCAAATTCTCCTCTTTCTCCCGCTTCCTCCTTACCGTCCTCTTTACCTTCCTCCTCCTCCTCCTCGTACCCCTACTTGCTCTCCCTCTTCCCCGTCTCCTCCCAGCGCCGGGCGAGGTCGACGTCGACGAGCCGCCTCCATGTCGTAGCTGACGCCGTCCAGCTGGTGCTCGGACGGCGACGCGAAGCGAACCCCCTGCAGATAATAATCCTGCTCGGGCCCGAGAGAGGAAGGATGAAGGGGAAATGTGTCAAACAACTCCTGGGAGGTCTGCGTGGGAAAGATGACGGGTTCTTGCGCCCGATTAAGGGACCATTGAGCCGGATCAGCCCAGACTTAGCCCAGAATTAAGCCGTATGAAGCCCGACTCGGCGGAATCAGCAGGATTATGCCAGATCAGGCGAGTTTTCAAGCAGGGATGTACCAACGCCGATATGAACTTTATCCTCTCAACCTCGGCGTGCTTTCCGACAGGCTGGTCAACGCCCTCCAGCAGTGACTGCCGTTCTGCCGTCTGGTTTGCCAGGGCCCGCTCTAGAACTGAGAGCACGTCGCGCTCGCCAGGTGTCGGCGGAGCCAGCTGCCTTCACGCGTCTGAGTCGTCCTCCCCCTCCTCCCCTCCTCCTCCTCCTCCTCCTCGTCCTCCTCCTCCCTTCCCACTCCCCCTCCTCCTCCTCCGCCTCCCCCTCCTCCTCTTCCTCCTGCTGCTGCTCCTCCTCCTCCTCCTCCTGCTCCGCCTCCGCCTCGTCCTCTTATCCCACTTTTCCCCCCCTCGACCTCCTTCACCTCCTCCTCCTCCTCCCGCGTGCCAGTGCCCCGATGGGAGGCCTGCCGTGGTTCCCGCCCTGCGTGCTCCTTGTGTGTGTGGCATCTACAGCAGTAGGAGCGCAGGGGCCCCTCCACCAAAACGCCAGGGCCCCCCAAGATCGAAGAACACGGCCCAGGATCGACACATTAACAAGGAGCACGCGTGTCAAGGATCATACAATGACGATGTGGGTCCATGGGAGATGGAGGAAACCAGGGATCGCGAGGGGGGCAGTCCTTGGCAGGCGCCGGGAAGCGTGCCAGGGGTCCCTGGGGGTCCCCAGACGAAAAGTACTCCGAGCCAGCCCTGGGCGAATCGGGTCAGAGATGGTGTTCCTCCTGGGCGCCGCCCTCAGGGCCACCTAAGAGCACGGTCGGTCGGAATAAGGGGACGGCTGGGGCGCAGGGGGGGGGGCGGGGGGGGGCACAGCGGTCTGAATAAGGAGAGGAGTGCAGGGGGGGAGCGGGGGGGAGCGCACGGTCGGTGGGAATAAGGAGAGGGGGGCGCAGGGGGGGGGGGGGCACGGTCGGTCGGAATAAAGGGAGGGGGGCGCAGGGGGGGAGCGGGGGGGGGGGGGCAGGGCACGGTCGGTCGGAGAAAGGAAGGGGGGGGGCGCAAGGGGGTGGAGGGGGGGGGGGCCACGTCGGGTCGGAAAAGGGGAAAGGGGGAGCAAGGGGGGGGGGGGGGGGGGGGAGGCGGAGGAAGCGGCCCACGGTCGGTCGGAATAGAGGAGGGGGGCGCAGGTGGGGAGGGGGGGGGGCACGGTTGGTCGGAATAAGGGGAGGGGGGAGCAGGGGGAGCGGGGGGACGGGGGGGGGGGGCGGCCACGGCCCCCCGGTCGGAATAAGGGGAAGGGGGCGCAGGGGGGGTGGTGGGTAAAGCAGGGGGGTGGGGGCATTGGTCAGGGTGGATAAGGGAGGGGGGCGGCAGGGGAGGAGCGGAGGGGGAGGCCACGGTCGGTCGAATAAGGGGAGGGGGGCGCACAGGGCTGGGAAAACGGGGGGGTTGGCCCACGGTCGGTCGGAAATAAGAGGAGGGGGGCGCACATGGAGGAGCGGGGCGGGGTGGTCCCAATGGTCGGTCGGAATAAGGGGACGGGAGGCGCAGGGGAGGAGCGGGGGGGGTGACCACTTTCCTTCTATTTTTTCCTCTTTTCGGTCGGAATAAGGGGAGGGGGGGCAGGGGAGGAGCGGGGGGGGCCCCACGGTCGGTCCGGAATAAGGGAGGGGGGCGCGGGGAGGAGCGGGGGGGGGTGGCCCACGGTCGGCCGGAAATAACGGGACGGGAGAGCGCAGGGGGAGCGGTGGGGGGGCCACGGTCGGTCAGAATAAGGGGAGAGGGGCGCAGAAGAGGAGCGGGGGGAGTGGCCCACGGTCGGGCGGAAGAAGGGGACGGGGGCGCAGGGGGGGAGCGGGGGGGGGCCCACGGTCGGTCGGAATAAGCGGAGGGGGGCGCAAGGGGGGAGCGGAGGGGGTGGCCCACGGTCGGTCGGAATAAGGGGAGGGGGGCGCAAGGAGGGAGCGGGGGGGGTGGCCCACGGTCGGTCGGAATAATGGGAAGGGGGCGCAGGGGAGAAGCGGGGGGGGTGGCCCACGGTCGGTCGGAATAGGGGGAGGGGGGCGCAGGGGAGGAGCGGGGGGGGGTGGCCCACGGTCGGTCGGAATAAGGGGACGGGGGCGCAGGGGGGGAGCGGTGGGGGGGCCCACGGTCGGTCGAAATAGGGGAGGGGGGGCGCAGGGGAGGAGCGGGGGGGGGGCCCCACGGTCGGTCGGAATAAGGGGAGGGGGGCGCAGGGGAGGAGCGGGGGGGGTGGCCCACGGTCGGTCGGAATAAGGGGACGGGGGCGCAGGGGGGGAGCGGTGGGGGGGCCACGGTCGGTCAGAATAAGGGGAGAGGGGCGCAGAAGAGGAGCGGGGGGAGTGGCCCACGGTCGGGCGGAAGAAGGGGACGGGGGCGCAAGGGGGGAGCGGGGGGGGGCCCACGGTCGGTCGGAATAAGCGGAGGGGGGCGCAAGGGGGGAGCGGAGGGGGTGGCCCACGGTCGGTCGGAATAAGGGGAGGGGGGCGCAGGGAGGGAGCGGGGGGGGTGGCCCACGGTCGGTCGGAATAATGGGAAGGGGGCGCAGGGGAGAAGCGGGGGGGGTGGCCCACGGTCGGTCGGAATAAGGGGAGGGGGGCGCAGGGGGGGAGGGGGAGGGGCCAGCACGACCACCAGCACGACCACCAGCACCTCCACCAGAACGGCCAGCAACACGACCGCGAGCACGACCACCAGCACGACCACCAACACGACCACCAGCACCTCCAGCACGGCCAGCCACCAGCACGACCACCAGCAGAACCACCAGCACGACCACCAGCACGACCACCAGCACCTCCACCAGAACGGCCACCAACACGACCGCCAGCACGACCACCAGCACAAGCACCGGCACGCCCAGCCACCAGCACGACCACCAGCACAACCACCAGCACGACCACCAGCACGATCACCAGCACGACCACCAGCACCTCCACCAGAACGGCCACCAACACGACCGCCAGCACGACCACCAGCACAAGCACCAGCACGACCACCAGCACGACCACCAGCACGACCACCAGCACGACCAGCCACCAGCACCTCCAGCACGGCCAGCCACCAGCACGACCAAGCACGACCACCAACACGACCACCAGCACCTCCAGCACGGCCAGCCACCAGCACGACCACCAGCACAACCACCAGCACGACCACCAGCACGACCACCAGCACGATCACCAGCACCTCCACCAGAACGGCCACCAACACGACCGCCAGCACGATCACCAGCACAACCACCAACGCGACCAGCCACCAGCACGACCACCAGCACAACCGCCAGCACGACCACCAGCACGACCACCAGCCCAGCACGACCACCAGCACGACCACCAGCACGACCAGCCAGCAGCACGACCACCAGCTCGACCACCAGAACGGCCAGCAGCACGACCACCAGCACGACCACCAGCACGTCCACCAACCACGACCACCAGCACGGCCGCCAGCACAACCACCAGCACGACCGCATTATGGGCACACGGTCGGTCGAAATAAAGCAGTGCGAGATCACACCGGTAGGTATGATGACACCCCCACTATGCCTCCAGGAGGCCCCCCAAATGCCACACGACAACTGCAGT